AAATGTCTTAATTTACCTTCAGAACTTGAACTTATTAAAACCATTTCTGAAGTTTACATTTTCTATTATTTTTCATGGTAATAACTTCCATAAGGAAAGTTATATGACTTATTTCTCTGAAACTTGCCTCCCTCAAGATTCACAGGGCTCCAACTATGTTAAAATATCTTGGTCTGAGCATATCTTTTGCAGCATGATTGACTGCCTTTTTTTGGGAACAAGAAATCGACCTCTTATTCAGAGCTCCATGTACAAAAGATTTTTTTCAGAGCTATGAAAGAAGCGGGAACATATTTGCTTGGTTCTCCTAGTTAGCCATTCTCCCAGGGCTCCCGGGTAAGACATGAGTTTACAATGAGAACTACTCCCAAATCTAGAGACACTAGGAAGCTGACCAAAAATCAACCCACAATGAATTAGATGCAACCTATCCTGTTTTAAAATTAGAATATGCTTTTAAGTGTGAACGACTATGGGTTTCTCAGTTTGTCTAGAAGCCATTCTAAATTATAATTCATAAAAGATAAGACAAAATCTTGCAAATTTTATGAAAGTTAAGAAAAACTGCACAAAGAAATTTAAATGAAGTTTAGAAAATGGAGAGTCAGAGAGTAACTAGTGTGTCTCTATTCCTGTCCAAGAAAAAAGGTACTGATTCTAACCCTAAAGTAAAAAGGCTAATTGCAAGACTAGCTTGGTTGATCCAATCCTCAAAGAGCACCCTGCTTCCTCTGCTCGACTTCTGGTGCATAATTCAGTCCAGAGTCTATCAGTCAACTAGTGAGGGGCAAAGGATGGTCTCGGTCGTACGACTCACTGTGAAATCACACACTAGCATTCTACTTTTCAAATATGACTCTTCTGAGTTTGGTTAGTGCAGCTCACCTCCCAAGAAAATCATCACCCCTCAATGAACTAGCAAACTGAATTTTGGAGCCTGCAAAGCTGAGACCCAGTCCTTAGAACATGGTGACTTCAGCCAGCCCAGCATGACAAAGCCAGCTGGCCTCATGGATCTTTGCTGCACGAGAAGAGAGATGGTGGGCGTTCTCAGCAGCCACAGACTGGTGAGCCAGCCTTCACCTTGCCTCTCATTCAGTCACACTGGGATCAGAGTTTAAGAAGAGGGAATTAGACATGAGTTTATTTTGGGGCTTTTGCAGGACAGATGCCCAGCAGAAGGGTTCTCAACAGTGACTGAGAGTTTCTGTCTCCCCTAGAACCCACAGTTCAATGAACTGAGTGCGGTGAAGCAGCCAAGTGGCCGAGCTCTGGAGACAATCTGCTTGAGACTTTAGTTGTGGCTTCTGAGGCTAGAGAAGCCCTAGAAATAAATATGCAGGTGAATCATATAGAGAGAGACAGCTACCTCCTAGTCACCACTCTTTGATAACCAGATTCACAGCTTGTGCTGCTTAGCATGTAGTACCTGATAGAGGCTGAGGACAGTGTTGTTTTTTAAAAACTTTCCTATAGATTCAAAATCACATCATGCTTTAAAAATAATTCCTTAATATCATCTAATAGCAATCTGTGGTCACATTTCTCCAGTTGTTCCGAGAATGTCTTTTACACCTGTGTTTGTCCGAGCCGGGATGCAATCCAGGACATGACATTGCATCAAGTTGTTATGTCTGTAAATTTCTTTTAGTATACAATACTCCCTTTTTTCATGGCACTGACTTTTTAAGAGATTGAGCCAATTATCCCATAAAATAGCTCACCTTCCATATCTGTCTGCTTCATTCTTTGTGGTCTTAGCTTGTTCCTTTATGCCATGTGTTTTGGATAAACTATAAGTTAGATCTAAAGCTTTGATTAGATTCAAGCTAAATGTTTTTAAGCAAAAGAAAAAATATAAATATCCTACGTGATGTCAAGTACTTCATATTGCCTCACCTCACAAGACAGTATTGCCTGGGCATTAGTGGTGCTAAGGTTGGTACTGGATTAAGATGGTGTCCTTCTGATTTCTCCAACATTTAGTTACCTGCTCCTCTTGTGACCAGGAAAAAGGAATCTGTCCAGTGGTCCTTTGGTACCATATGAATGTCCTGTTCCCCATCAACCATTTGTCTAAAGGTTTTATCAGCAATTGATAATCTTTGCCTGAATCAATAATTTCCCTTTGGAGTTTCCTTTTCTGTGGCAGCCGGTCTTATGCTGCACTGTTTACTAGTTATGACATAAAGCAAGTCATTAGCTTCTTGACTCTTACTTCCCTCACCTATAAAATAGGTATAAAAATAAAACCAATCCAGAGGCCAGTCCAGTGGCCTAATGGTTAAGTTCACGTGCTCTACTTCAGCAGCCTGGGGTTCTCAGGTTTGGATCCTGGGTGCAGACCTACACATTGCTTGTCAAGCCATGCTGTGGCAGCATCCCACATACAAAATAGAGGAAGATTGGCACAGATGTTAGCTCAAGGACAATCTTCCTCAAGGAAAAAGGGGAAGACTGGCAACAGATGTTAACTCAGGGCCAATCTTCCTCACCAAAAAAAATAAAAATAAAAATAAAACCAATCCATATAGCTTTTGGAAGTATTAGTTGAGATAACCATGTATCCATGCTTTGCCAGGTGCCTAGTGGCATGTATGCATGCAATAAGCATTGGCTATTTGTTATTACTGTGCTTTTCCTTATTTTGGTGGTGACAGCTCACAGAGCATTATCCACTTACTGCCAGTCTCAAGTCCCTGAGGCAAATGACAACATATCTGATGAAATTGCTGCAAAGGGGTTGTGACAGTTAGACTTTTGAAGAATATTGACTTGTAGACCATTTTCTAAAGGCAAATGGGAATTTGTTTGAAATAAGTGCTGCTTGGATCAGTGTTTCCTAAGGCGTGTTATAGGAACTAGTAGACCCCCGACACGCTCCATAGGAGAAGGGTTCTATTGTTAAAATAACCTCTGGAAAATCCTGCCCATTCTTTTCCTCTCTTAGGGTTTCATTGTGCATATTATTAAGTTAAAAGTTCTAGAAAGCCTCTCAGGAAAGAAACCTGCTTAACTTTGCTTAATCAAATATTTTCTCACCTGTTTGCCTGTGGACACTACCACCCTGCCTCTGCCTTTTTAAAACCAAGTAATACATATAAACAGTACATTGAGCTGCCTTAGAATCGTCCAAAGGCTTGAGTGAGGAGGGAGTCGAACTGATGAGCCAACCCCCAGTAGAGAGTTGGAAGGTGTCTGCCACTGGCCTTTGGATCCTGAAAAGCTGTGCAAGCTAGAGGAGTTCTTAAGAGGTTCATTTCTTTCTTGGGGCAGAAAAAGCAGAAATTGATTGTTGAAACAGCCAAACTCTTTTCCTTAGATTTTCTCCAGAGCTTATCAGGACTCCTAGAGGATCTCCGAGTCCACCTGTCGTGTAGGTGTCCCACCACCACCGGGATTGCCTAGGCTGATAGGAATGAGTCCCTGGGGCCAATGCACAGAGACCAAACCACATAGAGGGTGTCACGGTTCCGAGAAAGAGCAGAAGATTTGGAGTCAGACGAACAGGGGTCGGTGTCATAGCTCTACCAGGCATTCACCGTGATCCCTGGGCAAATCCCTTACCCTCTCTGAACTTCAGTTTCTTCATCTATATAATAGTGACTGTTAAAGCACTTAGCTCAAATGGTTGTGAAACTCTCATTAGATACATAAAAGCATTTTTTAAAATATTAAAATTTCCTAATTTATTTACTTTTTATTAATTTACTTTTAATGTTAAGGGTATTCTTACTGATCTTCATGGCTCATATTTTGGGGGTCCACTAGTCATTCTTTTACTCATTCAACTTATCTAATATTTATTGAGCCACTTACAGTGTACCAAACACTGGGTTAGGTGCCAATATAAAATATAGAGTAAAGCAGATCTAGTTCCTGCCTTCATGGAGCTTACATTCCATAAATATACACAAAAATAAATTTATCATTGAAACCACCTCTCCTCAGGTACTGATGTGATATTTAAAAATTCGGTATATTGCTATAAACTACTATAAATAGATGCATTTGAAGGTAATATGCATGAACTGTTCACAAAAAAATCAGAAAATGAATTTGTCAGTTTAAATAAAGAATAAGATTATTAATGTAGAACTAGAAGAGACCTTAGGAATAATTTATCTCAATCCCCTCGTTTTATAGATGAGGAAAACCAGAACTCTGAGTACTACAGAAATTTACTCAGTCACATATTTGTGTGTGTGTGTGTGTGTGTGAGAGAGAAAGAGAAATTAGGGATCTTGAGGCCAGGGTTAGAACCTAGATTTCCCTTCCCGTAGGCAGTGCTTTCCACTCTGCTGGATTCCATCTGAAAGGGATTGTAAGAAACAGATTCTATTTTAACAGTGTGTTATGATGATCACACTTTGGTACAGTGTGTTCCAATTATAAGAAATTGGGGATGAAGCACAATTGATTTTTCCAACGTTTGGTCCATGAGACATTAATATTTTAATAGATGTTAGGTTATCACTTTTTAAGTTTCTCGGTCAAATTGGCTTAGGAAACCCTGCATCCCCCCCCCCCCCTTTAGAAATCCATAAATGCGTATTGTGATTGTAAAAGATCGTTCCTGCAGTAAGGAAACCTCTTCAACTCTGGACAACTCAGCGTTTCCCAAACTTGTTTGACTAAGGACTCTGTTTTGAATTATTTAAAAATGTGATTAATGTGCTGGAAAGTGCAGCCTTAGCATCAGTGTGGTTGCCTTCTTGGTAAAGTTTGTGAAAGCTCAAAAGTAGACCAAGTTGGACTACACACCTTTAAAAAGGCAGTGTCTTGGGTCTTAGGATCTCAGGCTGACTGTGGGTGTAGGAGCTACACCTCATAGGATGCATTTCCTTAAAGTGACCATGTCCTTTTAACCAAGGACTGGAATGGGAAACAATGAAAGTTTAATTTAAGAGTATGTTTTGATATATCTTTGGAGGAAAACAACTCTAAGTGTTTTAATTATCATTTTCAAGCATTTTAAAAATTATTATTTTTATTTTTAGGTATTCACAAGCCCAGAGTTCTCCAAAAGGGTGTGGTGTCTTCACAGGACATCCAAATAAGGTAGCTGAACATCTTGCTTCTGAGGTAACTGTGTATCCTTATTTCAGACTCGTCCAAGTCTGTGGATGTGAAGCCTGTCTGTGGCTACTTGGTCAGGCCATCCAAACATGAGACTGTTAGTGATATTTTGAAGTCTTTGAGACAAAAGCCTAGCTTGCTAAAGAACTTTGGTTCAGCAGAGAGACAGGGAGGTACAGCGAAGAGAGAATCAAAAGCCTGGAAATTTGCTGCTGAGAATAAATGCTAGCTGCTCCCTGAGGTGATTTGTCTGTGCACTCCACTCTCTACAGATGTTAGAGCCTCTTTTTGAGTAAGGACCCGAGGTTCTTTGGTAGCACTTTGATATCCTGCTCGAATTCAATATGTGAAATGGAGGCGTCTCTCTGTGACTTGGAGCCCACAGCAGGCTTTGAAGTCTGATCCAATTTTTGCTGCCTACTATTTGATGTTGAAAGGATGAAATGAAGAAAATGTACAGTTTTTGCCAGTAACTCTGCTGAGCATATGTAAGATTAAAAAAACAAAATCCTTTGGATGATGTACTTAGAAATGTTAAGTAGATTAATACCTTCCTATAGGTTTTCTTTTTTCTTTCTTAGGGATAAAAATTAAGTATAGAAGAAAATCAGCACATATCTGCTTTTATATTCTGGACTATAATTAATTTAAGAAGGGGCTAGATTGACTTGTTCAAAGGAAGACGTGAATGGAGCACAAGGTGTTGAACCTTTACTACTAATTGCCCCAAGGAGAGGATCTCCATTCAATTTTAATGCAAGACAGGGGCAACTTACAGCATGACCCCAATATACTTAGTTTCTTCCTCATACAGTTGGGGTTCGGGGTCCCTTCATTAAATGGAAGCCATGTCCTTAAAGCTGCTTCATCAGAGGATAAAAATAATGTTTCTCTTACCGGGTCTTTCTGAAGCACTCAGTATCTGGAACTGACTCACTGTCTTCTCGGACATGCCATGCTGCTCCAGATCACCCAGGACTAAGTCCCTCAAGGGGAGCCCCTGCAAAACCTGGTAAGAAGAACATTTTTGATTGCACGCTGCTTCTACCATTCATGTGCTTGTGTACTTTTTAATGAGTTGTTTGGGCAGGACTGTCTAGAAGACAGGACTCAGATAGTAATATGACTTAATGTTAGCAAAAAGTGCAGGTTTGGGAAGCCATAAAGGCTGGAAGCAAAACTTGTATTAAAGGTAGCATTTTACTGCCTACCTATGCCACTTAAGTTTACTTTTCTGAGGGAAGAAAATACTTTTCCCTTCGGTTATAAGAACCTCAAATTAGGAAACTGCTTCAAACTTCATTTTGTTAAAGAAAAGATAAACAGCTGACCAGCTTTCAGTGGAGCAGATCATTCAGGATCCAAATCCAGGGCTTGGTAAAGAATGTAAATTTAGGGGCCCGCCCCGTGGCTGAATGGTTAAGTTCACGAGCTCCGCTTCTGCGGCCTGGGGTTTCACTGGTTCAGATCCTGGGCGCAGAAGTGGCACCACTCGTCAGGCCACGTTGAGGTGGTGTCCCACATGCCACAACTATAAGGACCCACAAAGAAAGTACACAACTATATACCATGGGGCTTTGGAGAGAAAGAAGAAAAAAAAAGATTGGCAACAGATGTTAGCGCAGGTGCCAATCTTTAAAAAAAAAAAAAAGAAAGAATGTGGATTTAGTAAGTAGTTCTACCCTTTTGGCAACATGGCCACTCTTTCAGCAGGAATACAGACATCTTGCCATACTCCTTTGGGAAATAGCTATTTCTGGCCCCTTTTCTAAATTCTTTTCCACAGAACATCTTAAAAGTCAGTTTTCAGGCTTATGAGTGGCTATAATCAGTACTTCTAGAAGATAAAATAGAAGCGTGATCACAAGAAATATTTATGAACCACAAAATACAAAGGACAATGTGGACCATTCCAAAGAAAGAAACCTTTTAATGTAAAATACCACCTTTACGCTTACTATCGACCTCATCTATTTTTCTGAAATATTTTTCTCAGGACTCTCTTTTTAGCCTGTTTTTCAGTGACAAAGTAGTATTATATGAAGTGGAAAATGCATAATAAATATGTTCGGACCTCCAGTCCATATGGAACTTAAGCTCTTGGAGAAAGACAAGAGAGGATGAGTATATTATAGCAGAACCTTTTAAATGGATATGAAGAAATGATAAGCTTGTCAAAGGGAATATTGTCCCCACAGCCAGATAGTGTTCAGGAATACGGCCACAATGAGGTAGGGGTAGGAGTAGTACAGAAAAGAGGAAAATTTAGGGAAAAGACAGTGTAGTGGAGCAGAATCCATTATGCAAGAATTTAGTTGGCATTTTTCTCTATCCAAACAGATAACCTCTACCTTTTAATCAGGTGCTTAGACCATTTACATTTAATGCGGTTATGGAATATGTTTCGGTTTAATACTGGCATCTTGCTATTTGTTTTCTACTTATCTCGTCTTCTATTTGTTCTCTTTTAGCATTCTTTAAAATAGATGTAACTTTAAAATACATGTAAAAAGAAAAATTTTAAGTATGGTTGAGTAGCCAAAGGTACAAGTTCTGGGATCAGACCTGCCTGGATTCAAATCTCTGCTTTCCTGTGTAGTGTTAATAAAGTTATGTAATTACTCCTTACCTCAGGACTTACGCATATAAAATAAAGAAAATGAGTAGTTCATAGCTGAGGAGTTATACTGAGGATTAAATGAGCTAGTGTAGGTAAAGGGTATAACACACTTTCTGGTTCATAGTAAGGGTACCTTATTATGTCAGCTGCTGCTATGGTAGTTATTGTTATTGATATAGATGAACTTTGCATTTATATTATAAGTATGAAGTAGGGAAATAAAGTTTATTGTAAGGCATTAAGTTTTGATGGGATAGTTCAGCGGGAGTAAAAATATATGGCATTTTGAATTAACTATTAAAGAGACTTGTTAGATTACAACCATCTTTACCAGTCTTTAGGAAAGTATCCCAGAAAGTCAAACTTAGTCATAACTTTACATCTGACCTGCTGTAAATGGCTCATGTGCACTTTCCTGTCAAATTATTCCTTCTAGTCTAGACAGTTCTCTATTGGGTCTGCCACGATGACCATCACTCCTCCTTATACTCTTGTAAACAGCATTCTAAGTGGACCTCCTGCTTCCATTCTTTTTCTCCTTCAACTTCTCTTATGCACACATGCCTGAGGAGCTGTTTAAAAGCATACCATGATCATGAAATTCCCTTCCTCCATATTCTTCAGTGGCTCCCCATTGCTCCAGCATCAACTCTAAGCTGCTTGGCATGACATTCACGGCTGCCTCTGTTCTGGTCCTAATCTTCCTTTCCAGCTCTGTCTTCCACTGATCTCTCTCCCTCATCTGTGCTTCAGAATATCAAAACTATTCTCGGGGCCGGCCCCATGGCCAAGTGGTTAAGTTCTTGCGCTCCACTGTGGCAGCCCAGGGTTTTGCAAGTTTGGATCCTGGGCGCGGACATGGCACTGCTCGTCAGGCCACATTGAGGCGGTGTCCCACATGCCACAACTAGAAGGACCTGCAACTAAGATATACAACTATGTGCCGGGGGGATTTGGGGAGATAAAGCGGAAAAAAGAAAAAAAAGATTGGCAACAGTTGTTAGCTCAGGTGCCAATCTTACAAAAAAAGGAAAACAAGCAAACAAACAAACAAAACTATTCTCTATTCTCCAAGCATGCCTGGTGCATTCTTGCCCTTGTATGTGACTTTGTTCATGCTGCTCCATCTGCCCTGCCCCGGCACCTTGCCGTGTGCCCCGCCCCCCGTTTGTTTTCCCTTTTACTCTGAGTCCTCTCCATTCTTCAGGATTCACAGTGGCTCCCTCTGTGCCCTTTATTCTTACAGTATTTATCACATCCCGCCTTTTATTATAATTATTTTCATGCATCTACTAGATTTTATACTCTCTGGGATCATCTCTTTTCATTTCTGAATTCTCTCCTTGCAACGTAGCCTAGGTCCTCAAATTGAATTCTTGAGTATCCAAAGCCATGATGAAATAAATTGGAAGCCAAAATGAAATGAAACTTTTGAGTGAGTCAGAGAAAAGAGAGAAGTTTTAAACTGTATTTCTAATAATCCTGGAACAAAATAAATGTCTCTTAGTCACCCCTAAATAAGTATAACGTACCAGTAGAACAAGTTAAAATGAGCCAAGCTGTTTATTTTGTGGCTGTTGTTGTTTTGGACAGGAAGAGAGGGAAAGAAGGTTTAGGCAGGAAAAAGCATTAGGAAAATCAAATTCCCCTTGACCTTAGAAAGCAGCAAAGATGGACTGAAGTACAATAGTTTTCCAGTTTTGTTTATGTTTTCAAGGTTCTCAGCTGCAAAAACAAGAGTACATTCTGTAAGAGACATTTTAGCAAGTTATACCTTTGTGTTTAATTCTTTGCCTTAAATGACCCGTTATTTCAACCCATCTTTCTGTGAAAGGCTGAATGAGAATATTGTGACCTTTTCTGTTTAAAAAACCCGCTAACAGCCAGCAAAATTTGCCTTCTAACTTGCAGTGAGTGCTTACTTCATTGTTCTGTAAAGGGGTCTGGTGGGATGGGAGGTGGACGGAGGCGTAGAATAAAGTTACCTGATCAGGCCAGCTCTGCTCAGAGCAGGCAGATAAAGAAGTGTGCAGATGTAGGGCTTGGACAAAGGCTGTCTTCAACTCTTTAGTCAGAGAGTCTCAGAAGGTCTTGATTTGGTCCATTTGAGCCTGACTCATTCCTCACATAGAAGAAGAAAGTACAGTATACCCAGGAAGTGCATAAAACGAATCACTTTGCCACTAGTCCAAGCAGCGAAATTATTTAATTGGACTGACAGGCATATATATAAACCTGATCTGATTTTACTATGTAAAAATTTATTCTTTAGGCATTTGTTCTTTATTTATTCAATAAACAATTATTAACACTTACTTAGTACTGGGAACTGTCCTGGGCCAGTACTTCTCAAACTATTTTGAAAGACCAGTTCTGGGTTGGTTGTTTTAACTTCCAGTTTGCGCAGTCTGATACTTTCGTGAAATACAGTAAAAATGAATTACAATATAAACAATCACACGTTCATGTGTGTGTCAATAACAAATTGATCTAAACTTTTCTAAATTTCTTACTCTAAATTAAACTGCTCTAAATTTCTTTACTAATCTTGTTGGGACCAGTAACAAGAATCAGCCTGCAGACCACACGTCACTGGCACTGTTCTAGGCTCATGTGACACATCAGGGAACAACATAGTCAAAAATTCCTATCCTCATGATGCTACGTTCTAGCAGAAGGAGACAGCAATAAACAATAAGCATAACACATCAGTCAGTTGTATGGGATCTTAGAAGGGCAAAGTGTTATGGGGGAGAAAATACAGCAGCAGAGATCAGGAGTGGCCAAAGTGTGGAGGATGGATTTGGAGGATGGTGTACTTTTAAATCGGGTGGTCAGGGTGAGCTTCATTGAGACGTCTTGAAGGTAGTGAGCTAGTTAGCCATGTGGCTATCTAGGAGAAGAGCATTACAGGCAGAGGGAACAGCTATGGCAAAGGCCCTGAGGAGAAAGCATGCATGTAATACGTAAGGAGTAGAAAGAAGCCCATGTGATTGGAGCTGAGAGAGCTAGGAAGAGAATCGTAGGAGGTGCAGGGGCCAAATGATGCAGGTCAGTACCTCTTAAAGTCGTAACTAACACCCTGATGATCTGGTTAAAATGAAGATTGTGAGTCAGCAGGTCTGGGTGGCTCCTGAGATTGTGTAACACTGCTGAGCTTCCGCATGGTGCTGATGTTGTTGATCTGAGGTCCACATTTTGAGGAGTGAGGGTGTAAACTCAGTGATGTGGAGAGCCACTGAGCATTTTCAGCAGAGTGGCATGCTTACTCCAGCTACTGGGTTCAGGATAGACTGTAGACATCACCAATGGACGAGCTATTCTACGTAAGTTATGTTTTCCAGACAGCTGAAACTCTAAAACCCACGACTCCCTTTCATACTGAGCGTACT